GCCATTAGTAAATGTGACACAAACAGAAGCTTGAAAAGTGCTTATGTATTGCTGCTTTGGGGTCCCTTGTTGATACCATGTCAACAAGCCTAGGCTTGCCTGCTAGGGATAAGAGACACATGGCCCAGCCACCCCTGCCAAAAGCCAACCAACTACCAACCAACTTTCAGAAACAGAGCCATCCAGCTGACTAGCAGCTGACCACACATGCATGAACAAGTTCAGTCAAGACCAGCAGAAGAACCACTGTGCTGAGCCCAGTCTAAATCGTCATCTCACCAAATTCTGAGTTGAATAAATTTAAGTGATGTTTGAGTTTTAAGCTCTTGAGTTTTGGGTTGGTTTTTATTTAGCGAAAGCTAACTGGTATATACATTTCTCCTTAAAGTCCTCAGAGTCCTGGAGAAGCCCCTGGGATACCCCCAGCTTGACAGTCAGATTGCCCTGCAGACACAGCCAGACCTCCCCTTACCACCCTTTCAATGGGTCCCTCAGACAGCCTTCTCACAATGTGCTGAGTCCTGACTTACATCCTCTGCAGGACAGGAAATACTGACCATACTGCCTCTCCACCTCTCAGTGCTCCACCTGACGAAAGCCCTGGCCCTCACCCATTCCCGAACACCATGGGATACAAACCATTAATCCCTGTTGTTTTTGGGTCCCCAAGATGTACAGGCTGCCATCAGCTGGGTCAGAGAGAAAGGCCATTCTGTGGAGCAGAGAGGAACAAGGAAACCAGTGGGTGCTTGCCCCCCAGTTTTATGAAGGCCCCAAATTCCCTCCAACTTCCCTGCTACTAGGAGCTATTCTTATAGGAAACACCTTGGTGCTCCAAGACCCTCCCCTATATCACATCCAGAGCCAATTCTCTTCCCTTACTTCCAACACATCCCCATCCCACACACAAACTCTCTACAACTATGAGTCCCCCATCTCCCAGATGCCTCCTCCTTAAAAGGCCCCTGGTTCACTTACTCTGTGACGTACATTGGTCCTTGGATGACGGGATCTGCAGGGACAGGGACACAGAGCATAAGCAGCTCCCTCCAGACTCCACTGAAAAGCACAGCTCGTATTCACTGAGCTATAGCATGACTGTAATGTCAAGCACTTGGCATGAATGTAATGCCATCTTTCCAAAAACTCTGTCAGATAGGGTCATATCCTTTGCCCCACTTTACAGATGAGGATGTTGAGGACCAGAGAGGTAAAGTGAGTTTCTCAATTTCTCAAGGCCACACAGCTGGTAAGCAGTGAAGTTGCCTGTAGATACCAGCTTATTGGATTCTAGAGCTCATGTTCTTATTCTCTATGCCACAGTGACTCCCCCTTCACCAATCTATGGGTTCAAGGAGGGAGGAGGGACCGTCTCTTGCTCACCATCCCTCAGAGTCCACTTCAGGTCCCCTGTCTGTTTGCTCAGTGCATGAAGACTTCCATCCAAGGTGGACACCAGCAGGAGGCTCTCTGGCCTGAGAGTATGAACCTGCGAGGGGGTAGAGACAAAGTCAGCTCTCTGAGGGGTCTGGGACCACCCTTTGCTCCTGTCCTAAGCAGGGCTGGCTATGACTCCCCCTTCCCCCAGATGGGGACAGAGCAGGGGAGGAAGGGTGATTGGGGAACATGCTGGTGTCACCCATCATCTCTTTGATCCTAGAGAGGGGTTATAGTGGGAGCTAGAGAGGGGTTATAGTGGGAGCTAGGGGGTTCTGAGGGAAGGTTTTGGCTCCCAGTGTATCTAAATTCCCAATTCCTTACCCCCTCCCTCAATTCATTCTGGTTTTCCAAAGAAGACTAAAGGCCTTTACAAAATGACTTCATTGTTTGTTTTGTTTTCTTTTGTTATTGTTCTTGTTGTTTTAATTTAAGATAGGGTCTTGCTCTATTGTCCAGGCTGGAATGAAGTGGCACAGTCATAGTTCACTGTAGCCTCAAACCCCTGGGCTCAGCTGATCCTCACACCTCAGCCTTCCAAGTAGTTGGGACTACAGGTGTGTGTCATCACACCTGGCTAATTTTTGTATTTTTTGTAGAGATGGGGTCTTGCTATGTTGTCTAGGCTGGTCTGGAACTCCTGGCCTCAAGTGATCCTCCTGCCTCAGCCTCCCAAGATGTTGGGATTACAAGCATGAGCCACTGCACCCATTCTAATAATACCCATTCTGGGTATTATTCGTTTTCCCATTCTACAGGGGAGGGAGACTGAGGTTTAGAAAAGTTAGGTCATTGGTTAGGTCATTGGCATAAAGCCACAGAGATAATAAGTGGCAAAACTAAGGACTTGAGTTGCCATCCCTCTGATTCCTGTGCCTGGCCTCTTTTTCCTCTGCCACAATGTCTGCCTCTTTTG